TCCCAAAAATAAATAAATGTTTAAAAAAAAATTAAAAAAAAAAAAAAAACCAAAATAGTTTTCACTTTTGGAAGATTATTTTTTAAAACATTTAAAAAAAAACCATTGATTTGAAATACTTTTCTTTATTTTCAAAACCTCAGGAACATTCAATCCAGATGTTCACCTAAAGTGATTCATTAACCAGTGTGGGCACACCCAGTTGTCCTAAGAAAGAAATTAACTGGTTTTCACAATAGATGGTTGTACATCTATTGTGAAAGCCGGAAGGAGAGACATATATGTATAATAGCAAGAACTTATGTCTTTTTACTCATGGTAGAGCCAGTGCCTATATGTTTTAGGGGTTTGAATATGGCATCCTCAACATGGCAGGAACTGAATTAGGCAGTTGCAGAGGCCATATCCTGCCTTATACTCTAGGGATTCAAGAGAGCAAAAACTAAACAAAACAAACAAGTAAATGTTATAATACATGCAATGGTTGGTGACAGGTGCTATGGATAAAAAGGAAAGTCGAGGAGGGTAAGAGAGACAGGAACCTGGCTAGTTACTGTACTAATGATGGGGTTAAAGTAGGTTATGTTGAAAAGATGAGGTTTGAGCAAAATCTGAAGGAGGTAAGGGAGTTAGCCCAGTGGATCTATGGGGAAAGAGCCTTCCAGAATAAGGAAACACCTAGAGTAAAGCCCTAACGCAGCAGTGTGTCTAGGGCGTTCAAGGAGCAGTTTGCATATTCCCGCTGAGTTTCTGGGCACTCAAGTTGACTACAGTAAAGTGGAAATATGCAAATACACATTTGTCATCTGTTTTTAACATTTATCATCTATATTTTGGTTTGGCCATGACCTGAGCATGTGAGACTCCACGACAGTAGAAGAGGTGTTTTCAGTGCACCACATTCAGTTTTCCAAGGGGAACTTACAAGATCGGCCCCAGTTAGCCCCATGGTGGAGTTTCGGATCCTAAGCTACTGTGTATGCATAACAAATTCTCCTGAACTGGCTGCATTTTCATTATTCCCAACCACTCTCCTGATCCATATATCGAACACTGGTGCTTTTCAAAGGAGTAATCCATGAGGAAAAGAAGAAGAACTGGAATTGGTTATCTAACTCTGCCTGTTAATTACCGTCCACTAAGTAATGCAGTTCAGAGGGCACCGTGTGAAAATCTTGCTCACAGGGCTTCATGTCTTCTCAATGCAGCTGCTTGCCGAGGACTGGCCCTTTGGAGTTGAGATGTGTAAGCTGGTGCCTTTTATCCAGAAGGCCTCCGTGGGAATCACTGTGTTGAGTCTATGTGCTCTAAGTATTGACAGGTAAGAGCGTATATTTAAGCCAGGTATATCGTGAACACTATACTAGTGATTGCTATGTTACTTAGAAACTAAACTGTGTAATTCAATAAAAGCAGACCCTGCAGCTTGACAAATAATTCTATTTTGTACTTCAGATATCGGGCCGTTGCTTCTTGGAGTCGAATTAAAGGAATCGGGGTTCCAAAGTGGACAGCAGTCGAAATTGTTTTAATTTGGGTGGTCTCTGTGGTTCTGGCCATCCCTGAAGCCGTGGGTTTTGATATGATAACCATTGACTACAAAGGACGTTACCTGCGAACCTGCTTGCTTCGTCCCACTCAGAAAACAGCCTTCATGCAGGTGAATTTTACCTTTTCCTTTCCTTTCCGTTCTTGCCTTATAAATGTTTAGCCACTTTTTCGCCTGATCTTCCCTTCTTGGGAAGCTATTGATTTATGACTGTCCTTGGCATAAATTAAGAGTGTA